CCGCCAGTCAGCGCTGGCGGATCGAAGCGTGGAGGGGGGAATCCAGCCCCTCCCCTGTCATGGCAGAGAGCCGTGACAGGATCAAGAGTTGAGCGAACGCCGGTATGTGTTCGCTCACCTCCCGATCTATTGAGCTGACCTGTGACAGTCTCATTGTCACAGGTCGGCTAGAACTATGAGGTGAGTGAAAAGCACTCACCTCATAGTTCTCCTTTAAGGTCACATGACAGAGTTAAAACAGCATCAGCAATGACACTTACAATATCATCCTCCTTGTTATAGTTTGCTATATCCTTCCTTAGTGTTCGGATTATAATCATGCTCAGAATACCTGATGAACAGAAGACAATCATTAACATTTATAGAGAAGCTGCAGCAAGGCATGAGATAGACAAGTGCTTGATTAACTGCGCGTATAACATGTGAACTTCCACCAATGTTTCAGCGCTTCATAGGCTCCCCTCAGATAATTGCCCTAGTACCCTCCGCTCACCTGACAGGAAGAAGACAACGACCACAGAATTGATGATGGAGAACCAGTGGATCTGTACGTCGCTCATGGTTAGGTAAGTGTCCCAACGAGAAGCCCACTTGATGTCGCTTTCCTGATGGCAGAAAAAGAGGAAAGCTGAGCAAGAGCTTCACCACCCATAATCCCCTTCACCATGCTAGAGCAACACCACCATGATTCTACCTGCCAGTGCACAGAGTATGTGAACAGCAATTTATTTTCTTTCGCTGGGTCAATCTCCTGGGGAGCAGAATTGGAGCTATCTGGTACTGTGCAGGCTCGCTCTTCCGTTCCTTTCAGGTCTGCATCAAAACAAATCAAAGTAGATGTAAGGCCAAAATGCATGACATTTAGGTAAAATACCTGTCTTCACCGTATTCTCATCCTTTGTTACACCTCAGTGCTGCTGACCTCCTGCAGAGAAGGACCTTCAGTGATTGGATTTTCATATACCTGAAAGCTAAACTCTGGTCTTCCCTTCAGTCTTGCACAGGTGAACTTAAATTGTTTACTCTGATGTCACTGCACACTGTGAGCTTCTTACCTTGTGCACTAGAAGCGGCAGCAAGTCAGACAGAGACTGCCTCATATGCTGGCTGTCCAGCATCATAAACATTTAAAAGGATAGAAGGATCCCTTTATTCAGCCGTGTGCAGGTTTCCTTAGAAATGATAAGTACAAGTGATTGTTGGAAGCATTCGGCTATGCATTGCAGAGCTATTCTGGCATGCTGGGAAACCTCACAAACAGATGATCGCCTATTGGTTGCATCTATGAGCACTTGACAAATCCAATCAGCAGGAAAAAAAAACTGAATGATCAATGAACACACATTACCTTCCAGTCTGATGCTTTGTGGTACCACCTCGAACCTCACAATCCTAAACGTGTGCTCCTGATTCTCCTCCACCACCTCCCGATGGAAGTACAAGAGGAAGGACAAATGATTGTGCAAGTAGAACTGAAAAAGAAAAAAAAAACAAATGATGCGGTTATCAAAACAACATGGTACTAGAGATGGTCAGAGACTGCAAACATTGTACAGGAGATGGCCAGAGACATGCTACTATAGATGGTAATACACTGCTGACATACTACTAGAGATGGTCAGAGACTGCAGCCATGATACAGGAGATGGCCAGAGACATGCTAATATAGATGGTCAGAGACTATGGACATGCTACAAGAGATGGTCAGGGACCAGGGGAAGAGATGCACATTTACCTTGTTGTTGTCAGTGAACCCCAATCGGTATCCATGCTCAAACTGCACATCCCGCTCCTTCTTCTTATCATCCTCCTCGTGGCCAAGATGGATATCCAGTCTAGTAGCTACCGGCAGGTTATCCGCTATCCTAGACACACACAGGAAGACAGTTCTTATGGTACATATGGTACAAATAAATATATTTATTTAAATAAGGAACTCTCCCTCCTGTGCTAGGGATATATAGCTCCCCCTTTTTGTTATGTGCCCATCCTCTTAGAGCTGCCTGCTGCTGAGCTTTCAACAAAAAAGCAAGCAATTTGTTTTACGTAATGTTACAGAAGTGATAATACAGAAACATCTTCCACTATAGGAAGGACATGCCGTTCTGCATACATAAAGTGATCAGCAATACTGCTTCTGACAATACACTGCACAGAGCCTCCTGATCAGTGGAGCGGTAACTCACAAGTGGACATAATAATCTTCCTGGATGCGCTCAGCGAACAGTTTGCTGTCTTCCACATTCAGCACCTGGGGCTTGCTGGGAGTGCTACACAAAATCTCGCACTTCTTGTTACTGTTCATCTGCACCTTGAACGGAGTGTTGACTATGCGGTCACCCCGGAGCACCTCACCTAATGGAGAAAAAACAGTTCAAAGAGAGCTCGGAGCCATCATCTAAATTCACACGCATACAGGAACCTGACAAGCCTGGCAGAAGAACTGGGATCCATTGACATAATAGAGTGATCCCCCTACCAATGCTGTGCTATACAGCAAAACACAGGGAGCGTGTATGCTCTCTGAGCCCATCGTCAACATCACGACATTGGTTTAAAAGGGACTCTGTCCCATGGGGCCTCCACTGCTGACCTCCTTTTGAAAATGCTAGTCGCCTGGCTGTGTCTAATATTATATAGGGGTCTTGCTGCCCCCCTTACCGGTACAGGATGTTCTATAAAATCCTGGTGGGTGCTTGCAGTGACCACGGATGGCGCTGTGAAGATATACAAGCAAAACAAATGGCAAACACACTCATCAATTTGTTACCAGCTTTATAGCAAGATGCACGACAACTAATTGAAGAGTGCGTTTGCCATTTGTTTTGCTTGACTGATCTGGTGCGGTGACACATGGGGGGTCTCAGCTGCCGTTGTGATGTGCGGGGTCCCTTGTGCGTTCCCGTGCCTTTAAAGGAGAACTATGGGGTAAAGTATTTTCCCCATAGTTCTCCTTAGGGTAACGGGAGGACACAAACTAGCGTCCTCCCGTCACCCTAGGCTCAGTATACCGCGAGCTGTAGCTCGCGGTATACTTAGACGCCACAGTATACCGCGAGCAGCTGCTCGCGGCATACTGAGACGCCGCAGCTGAAGCAGATCCCGACAATTGTGCCGGGATCCGCCCAGCTGCGTGACTGACAGCTGGCTCGGCCTATCTAAAAGGCAGAACCAGCTGTACCCGCCCCTCCCCGTCTGTTCCGCCAGTCAGCGCTGGCGGATCGGAGCGGGGGGAATCCAGCCCCTCCCCCTGTCACGGCAGAGAGCCGTGACAGGATCGAAAGGTGAGCGAACGCCGGTATGTGTTCGCTCACCTCCCGATCTACTGAGCCGACCTGTGACAGTCTCATTGTCACAGGTCGGCTAGAACTATGAGGTGAGTGAAAAGCACTCGCCTCATAGTTCTCCTTTAAGGGAGGTTAGGCTTCCTCCTGACAAACCTGCACCCAATTTGATCTTGTGCCCCATGTGCTCCAAGATGGAGACTCTCATAGTTTAGAGTTTATACCGCACTATCTAGGAGGTGCCTTGGCGCGGCTGTGCGGCATTCACATTTTCTGCAGAAGACGTGTATCTAAACATCTGTTTTTAACCTTAATGGTTAGACAGGTTTTTTTTGCATGCTGGCTGGTGAGTGTGCTGGGAAACTTTTTGCTAGTGAAGATATACAAGTTTTTAAAAGCTGGTGACATCCTTTTGATGACTTAGTTTTCAGGGCGCAGACATGGAATGATCATACGGTAAAGGTATCAGAAAACCTCATCTCTATACATAGGGTCAACAGCTCAGATGGCATTGAAGCCGAAGCATCAGAGAACTTGCATTCTCAAAAGCAGAGATCGGCCTCTATGGCAGGTAGGCAATGTCCAGCTGTGATTAAACTACGAATACAATCATACTTTTGCCTACGGGAGTCATGCCTGTGGCTGTCAGAGTCTTGCAAGGCATCATGGGACTTGTAGCTCTAACAGATGGAGTGCCGAGGTTGCCCACCCCAAGTTTATAATATCTCATGACTGAATTTCTTTTAGCAACCCTTAGCAGTCTCCTTCTTGTAAAGCCCATTCCCTCCAAACATTTGGTTTTACAGAGCAGGCATTTGATTTTGATTTTCATTTATACAACTAGGCTTAAAAAGAAACCACGAATCCTTTTCTTTTTAAACATATAACTGCCCATATAGGATGGAAAGCTTTCACCCTCCCCACCCGTACATCCTGGTCCACACTTACCCAGATTCTCTGCCTTGTATGTGACTGTATCTGGATGACAGAAAGGCAGGGAGTAATATTCATAGGGCAGCTGGGTCCTGGAACTGGTCAGTTTCACAGCCTGGTAAAGACAGCGAGAGGACACACGTCTCAACAAGAAGTCACCGCTATCAAGCACCAATAATAACTAGATGAAAGGCTTCTCACCTTAATGTCCACAGGGGCATCCTGGTGGAAATTTATGGGTGCCACACCGGGTACATAGAAGGCACCCGTCCCATGAAGAAGGCAGAGACTGATCAGCAGCCATGCATACGTCACCTAGAAAAAGATATTACAAGTCATACATCCAGAAAGAGGACCTGTCTACCAGAGTGAGTGCTTCCGGCAGTGTGAAAATTAGTGTGCTAGATGTGACCCCAGTACCCCACATACTGTCTGCTTTAGTTTTAGTAAATTCCCTTTTTTATTACGCATGCTCTAAAGTGAATATACCAAAAAAAAAAACATCAGTCACTAAAACACACATGCAAACTCTACAACAAGTTTGGTGAGAAGCTTATGACCCTTCCTGTACATTGTTGGCATCTGGCCAAAGAAACCACAAAAATGTGCAAATGTCATGGTGTGAATGGAGGCCACGACTCCTACTACTGAGGAGAATGACATGTCTTTACTAATGACAACTACAAATTACATCATAAAAAGCACAAAAATAATATCATTTTAACCTTATTCTTTAGCCCAAATAAATATTTAGCTACATTATAAACTTAACCTCTTGCCGTCCGCCCGTAGTAAAAAAACGGACGGACGGCACTGCATCTGTATGTGAAAATCACTCAGCCTCATAGTTCTAGCCGACCTGTGACAATGAGACTGTCACACATGTAGGCTCAATAGATCGGGAAGTGATCATCTCCCTGCAGTGAGCCGTGCCTGTCAGTCACGGCTCCCTGCAGGGATTCCCCCCTCCCCAGTGCTGACTGGCGGAACGGACGGGGGCGGGTACAGCTGGCTCGGCCTCTAGATAGGCAGAGCCAGCTGTCAATAACGCAGCTGGGCGGATCCCGGCAGTAATGTCGGGATCCGTCCCGGCCGCGGCATCTCAGTATACCGCTAGCTGTATACTGAGCTTTGGGTGACGGGAGGACGCTAGTTTGTGTCCTCCCGTTTCCCTTAGGAGAACTATGGGGAAAAGCACTGACCCCATAGTTCTCCTTTAACCACTTCAAGACCAGGTGTTTAGACCCCCTTCCTGGCCAGGCCATTTTTCAGTGTTCAGCGCTGCGGTACTTTGACTGACGTTTATTCCGTCATGCAACGCTGTACTGAAATGAATTTTATACCATTTTTTGGGGACAGATAGGGCTTTATTTTGGTGGTATTTAAACACCACTGGGGGGTTTTAATTTTTTACTATAATTAGGAAACATTACAAAAAATTTTGGGAAAAAAAAAAAGTTTTCTTTTACATTATGTTAGAAAACATTTATTATTACCCAGTTTTTTGGTAAAATAGAAAAGCTGTTACCGCTCATCAGTTTAGTGTTATCAGTGATTGATGGCCCTAAAATGATTGCTCTCACTGGGACGTTCGCAGCAATATGTAACATGTGCGGCGTAATGGGCGCAATCGTCTTTTTTGCACGTATGCGCCCCCAACGCATGTTTGCATGCGTGTATGTATGGGTGGATCCTCGTGTACACAGGCAAACGCCACTTTTCATTTTGTTTTACTTCTGAACGCAGCTCGATTTCAGTCACGTGTCCGTGTGCATTGTGATGTTTCATATTTTAGAGCACCTTTCAGGGGTTTAAAACACAGTGCTCCAATTCTACATTCAGGGAGGAGCTTACTGGCACAGGTGAAAAACATGTAAACGTGTATGTGTGCAAATCCATTCCAAGGGCTGGGATGATTTAATATTCTAGTCAATAGAAGGAATTTACACACAATGGCCTGTAAGCACCGCACACGGGATATACACTGGATTGTTCTGCTCCAGCATAGATGGAAGTTTTATATTACATTACATGTACATTATCCCCGAGAGTTGTTTACTTCTGTGTAATGATCACATCTATCCCGTGTGACTTTACATCTCTATATCAGGAGTCAATCACATCCCGTGCAATCCCATTACAGCATTTTATGGTAATAGAAAATTCAGCTTTTGGAAATATTTAATAATTTCTGGGTAACTAGAAGTGAGTTTGAGATACAGAGCACTACAAACGGGGGCCCATACACTGGATCTGGTGTCAGTCGACTGTGCAAATGCCTAATACAGTAATGGGCCCCATGCATTGAATCCACTAAATGTAGATAGCTGAGGGTCAGGGGCCCCAATACAGTAAAGGGCCCCATGCATTGAATCCACTGAATGTAGATAGAGGGTCAGGGGCTCTAATACAGTAATGGGCCCCATATATTGAATCCACTGAATGTAAATGGATGAGGGTCAGTGGCCCTAATACAGTTATGGGCCTCATACATTGTGTATATATAGCTGGAGGTCAGGAACTCCAATACTGTAAGGGGCCCAATACACTGGGTGAAGAGGGAGGAGCTCTGCTGTTGATGCTATATTATAGTCAGGGCCCCCCTATCCCACTGTAGGGCCCCCCTATCCCACTGTAGGGCCCCACCACCAGGCAGACCAGAAAGGACAGTAATTGGACAGCTTTGAGCCTCATCAATATTTCACTAAATTATTCTCACGGGCCCCCCAACCCCTCTATACAGGGGGGTGTTATGGTTCTGCACTTCCGGGATGTCAGCACCCCCCCTGACACTGGCTTCCGGTTCCGCCCGGTGCCCCCCTTCCTCCTCGCCACACTCCCCTTACCCAGTCAGCCGCCCCCCACCTCTCCCCAAACTCCACGGGGTCCCCCCTCTCCTCCCTGGGGCCCCGGAGATCTCCCAGTCGGACACTCACCGCAGCGGCCGCCATCTTGGATCCACGTGTCCCTGGTGACGTCAGCGGAAGTGACCCGTTCCTGGGCCTAGCCGGGTTTATTGTCATGGTAACCGGCGGACTGTCCAGTTCTTTGACAGGTCTGAGGCGTGAAACACCGACTGTCATCACTGAATGAGCCTGTCAGTGCCTCATACCTCAGCGTGGTCATAGAACAGTGCTTTGTATAATGGCTGTCAGTGCCTCATACCTCAGTGTGGTCATAGAACAGTGCTTTGTATAATGGCTGTCAGTGCCTCATACCTCAGTGTGGTCATAGAACAGTGCTTTGTATAATGGCTGTCATTGCCTCATACATCAGTGTGGTCATAGAACAGTGCTTTGTATAATGGCTGTCATTGCCTCATACATCAGTGTGGTCATAGAACAGTGCTTTGTATAATGGCTGTCAGTGCCTCATATCTAATTACGGCCATAGACCAGTGACCTGTATGATGGAAGTCAGAGCCTCATACCTCAGTGTGGTCATAGAACAGTGTCCTCAGTAATGGCTATCAGTGCCTAATACCTTAGCGTGGTCAAAAATCAGTGCCGTATATATAATGGCTGTCAGTGCCTCATACCTCATTGTGGTAATAGAACAATGCTCTATATAATAACCGTCTCCTGAATTAACACCTCAGCATTGTCACTAGCCCGTGTACTGAGACATAACATGGCTGCCAGTTCCCCAACATTGTCACTAGGCTGGGTATTGAGACCATAACATGGCTGCCAACTCCCCAACATTGTCCCTAGGCTGGGTATTGAGGTCATAACATGGCTGCCAGTTCCCCTACATTGTCACTAGGCCAGGTATTGAGGCCATAACATGGCTGCCAGTTCCCCTACATTGTCACTACACTGTGTATTGAGACCATAACATGGCTACACTGTCACTAGGCCAGGTATTGAGGCCATAACAGGGCTGCTGCCAGTTCCCCAACATTGTCCCTAGTCTGGGTATTGAGGTCATAACATTGCTGCCAGTTCCCCTACACTGTCACTAGGCCAGGTATAAAGACCATAACATGGCTGCCAGTTCCCCAAAAGTGTCACTAGGCCAGGTATAAAGACCATATCATGGCTGCCAGTTCCCCAAAAGTGTCACTAGGCCAGGTATTGAGACCATAACATGGCTGCCAGTTCCCCAATATTGTCACTAGGCCAGGTATGGAGACCATAATATGGCTGACAGTTCCCCTACATTGTCACTAAGCCGTGCATTGAGGCCATAACATGACCATATGACCTCAATACCTGGCCTAGTGACAATGTTGGGGAACTGGCAGCCATGTTATTGCCTCAATACCTGGCCTAGGGACTTGTTGCCATGGCGCCCTGTGCGGCTGCACAGCTCGCACACCCCTAAGGCCGGCCCTGGCTGCCAGTTCCCCAACATTGTCACTAAGCCGTGTATTGAGACCATAACATGGCTGCTAGTTCCCCAAAAGTGTCACTAGGCCAGGTATTGAGACCATAACATGGCTGCCAGTTCCCCAATATTGTCACTAGGCCAGGTATGGAGACCATAATATGGCTGCCAGTTCCCCAACATTGTCACTAGGCCAGGTATTGAGACCATAACATAGCTGCCATTTCCCCTACATTGTCACTAGGCCATGTATTGAGGCCATGACATGACTGCCAGTTCCCCAACATTGTCACTAGGCCAGGTATTGAGGCCATAACATGGCTGCCAGTTCCCCTACATTGTCCCAAGGCCAGGTATTGAGGCCATAACATGGCTGCCAGTTCCCCTACATTGTCCCTAGGCCAGGTATTGAGGCCATAACATGGCTGCCAGTTCCCCTACATTGTCACTAGGCCAGTTATTTAGGCCATAACATGGCTGCCAGTTCCCCAACATTGTCACTAGGCCAGGTATTGAGGTCATAATATGGCTGCCAGTTCCCCAACATTGTCACTAGGCCAGGTATTGAGGTCATAATATGGCTGCCAGACCAGTTCCCCTACATTGTCCCTAGGCCAGTTATTGAGGCCATAACATGGCTGCCAGTTCCCCAACATTGTCACTAGGCCAGGTATTGAGGTCATAATATGGCTGCCAGTTCCCCTACACTGTCACTAGGCCTGGTATTGAGGCCATAACATGGCTGCCAGTTCCCCAACATTGTCCCTAGGCCTGGTATTGAGGCCATAACATGGCTGCCAGTTCCCCTACATTATCACTAATCCAGGTATTGAGGCCATAACATGGCTGCCAGTTCCCCTACACTGTCACTCAGCCAGGTATTGAGGCCATAACATGGCTGCCAGTTCCCCTACACTGTCACTCAGCCAGGTATTGAGGCCATAACATGGCTGCCAGTTCCCCTACACTGTCACTCAGCCAGGTATTGAGGCCATAACATGGCTGCCAGTTCCCCTACACTGTCACTCAGCCAGGTATTGAGGCCATAACATGGCTGCCAGTTCCCCTACACTGTCACTCAGCCAGGTATTGAGGCCATAACATGGCTGCCAGTTCCCCTACACTGTCACTCAGCCAGGTATTGAGGCCATAACATGGCTGCCAGTTCCCCTACACTGTCACTCAGCCAGGTATTGAGGCCATAACATGGCTGCCAGTTCCCCTACACTGTCACTCAGCCAGGTATTGAGGCCATAACATGGCTGCCAGTTCCCCTACACTGTCACTCAGCCAGGTATTGAGGCCATAACATGGCTGCCAGTTCCCCTACATTGTCACTAGGCCAGGTATTGAGGTCATAACATGGCTGCCAGTTACCCTACACTGTCACTCAGCCAGGTATTGAGGCCATAACAAGGGGATTAAGGTGGACATAAGAGGGGATTTCCCTCACTTTGGATGAGTTTTCCTCTCATTTCCCGTTGTGTTTCCTCTCTTGGACAGGAAGTAAATGGGACGTATGATAATACTTTGGAGTGTAGTTATGGATGGAGTGTGGAAGGGTTATAACATCTGTCAGTTTTTATGACTCTTAGGGCCGCCTGCTGTGAGATTCACTCTATTTATCTAGCTGACCATTGTCATCAATACAAAAAGTGATGGAAAACCCCAAATTTCAGAGCTGTCACTAGAACAGGGGCAGAGGGGGAATCTTCTTTTGAATCATAAAGATATCATCAGTGCACACCACAATGGTAATCCTCCTCAAATGCGGTGTGCTGGAGCAACTGGTAGATGGTGCCGCAGCAATCAGGGTAAGGATGTTTCCGGCGCACCTCAATCTTCTGCAATCAAATCTTTATTGATGTTTCAAAACGTACAAGGTTTAGAAACCACCAGGGGTCCCTTCCTCAGGCAGAGTGACATGAAGACATCTGTCCTGGCCTAAGAGGGGGTATTCTCTCTCTACAGAGAGACTTCCTTCCTGTTCTATCACAAGAGCTGGCAGTGATATCCTGTCCTGGCACCTGGTGGTCTGTTCTGAGTGTCGGCAATGGTGACAGATGGAATGCTAGCGTATAACGCTGCTGACAGGTAGCATGCTCACACTGGGTAATACTAGGGTTGCCACCTTTTCTTCAAGTGAAACCCGAACACTCAAGCGCCGCGCGCAAGGGGAGGGAGTAAGGAGACAGCAAGGGGAGGGAGTAAGGAGACAGCAAGGGGAGGGAAAAAGGAGACCGGCTATAGAGGACTACAAATCACAGTAATACATTATACAGCAATATGAAGCTACACACGCTGTGTTTTTGCGGGGGTGGCGCTCTGATGTTTCCAGGATATCAGGTGAGCTATGCAGGCTCTCAGGTGACCTGTGCGGGCTCTCAGGTGTCTCAGCAGGGTTTCAGAGGCAGGCAATGTGGTGTCAGGAAGACGGAGGAGGAGATGTGTGGGCCCGCAGCTCACAGGAAGGCTGCCAAGGTCCCATAGCAAGCACGGGACCTCAGGCAGCTGCCAAAAATGTTAATGTAGCGGTATCGGCATTTAGTGTCTTGTGTTCGGGTGTCAGCTGGCCTGAAACCCGGACACAGGACTCAAAAACCGGATTGTCCCGGTGAATCCCAGACAGGTGGCAACCCTAGGTAATACTGATAGGTGACAAGTTCTGTCTCACTCTATGTGCAGGTGACATCCATGCTGTGCTGAGCATGTTCTGGTACTGGAGATGCAGACATGCATTACATACCAGCGGATCCTTGGCCTGTAGGCAAGCACTGTGCCGCACTCTGGTACTCTTGGAAGGGTAAGAAGAGTGCTCCAATGTAAGGAGCATTCTTCCCTTGGAAGCAGAGATGGATTAAACCAAAATGGGACCCCAGGCAGCTTTGTCCCTCTTCGACAGACATTGATAAGGCATGCATTAGGCAAAGAGGAATCCACAATCTGCATTGTTTGTACTGACACCGCAGCAACAAGTCCATTCTCCCTTGCAGGGGCTTTCCTAGTCTTTTCACCGCCTGTGTTGGCTGGGCAGGGCGGTGCGTATGGCCCTTACACATCTCCTCGCCGGGCTCTTAGCAACCTGGGACGCTCTGATAGGAAAGGGGGCAGAGGGCACATTGTGCAGCATTCCGCTCTGTCTGCTGCCCCCCTACGTGACCCAAAGAATTGCCGTCTGATGCAAGAGCCTCTGGCTACCTTAGTATAGGGACGGCCCTGCTCCCTTGTGATGCGACAGGCCGGTTCCAAGCTTAAACCAATTGCCGCCCACCTGGTTTACCGCAGGAGCATGAGGACTGCAGCTGGACCCCCTGAACATCCAGCGGGCCCTGCCCAGGTTGCCTTGTAGATGATCTGACTCGGAAGGTCCAATGAACTGTCGATGATATTCCTGGCGCATGCTGTGTGTTAACGTTCATATAGTGCTTAATGAGTATATATAGAACCATATACATCAGTCCCTGCCCCTGAGGAGCTTACACTTCCATGTCCCTGCCTCGGTCACATAGAAAAACACAAAAAAGGGACAATTTGTTCAGAATTCAGTTTAAAATGGCTTACGTTCAGTCCTGGGCTCCCCTACCATCGAACTGAGTAATTACACTACTGCTCATGGGGACCTCTACCCGGGTGGCCACCTGGGACGACAGCTTTTGCTCCACTCTGTTTGACATCTCTTGTGTTATTATTGTCTCCCTTAGTTCTTGCTATGTCTGTCCTCTCACCCTCCTATTGCATCGTTAAATAGCTACGAGTGATATTGTGATGGGCACTCTAATGTTTGAAACGTTTCATAGTTCTTGTTCCCGTTCTGGTAATTTTCATGCACCCCGACCTTCACTACCTTGGGCTTGGTGTTAATGCAGGTCCTGATGGCTTACGTTCCTAGTGCATCACAGCAATAGGGGTGAAAAAAAGATCAGCCGGAGTTTTTTTTCGCATTCTGCAGAGAAGGACCCCTGTGTGGAAGCTGCAGACGTCTGACATCCCCCCTGTTGTGTTATTGCTAAAGGTCTCCAGTCAGTGGGGAGCATGATCTTTGTTGATTGCAAAGCCAATCAGTGTCTGTGTGTGTGTGGGGGGGAGACCTCCGCAGAGAGACCACTGCTTCCACACAGAGAGCAGGAGTCCCACTCAGTGGTGTGACACCATTGTAGGCGCGACACCAAAATGACTGACAGTCATTTTGGTGTCACCCCCTCTAAAAAGTCAGGCACTAGGCCAGGGGTAGCCAAACTCTGGCCCTCCAGCTGTGGTGAAACTGCAAATCCCATGATGCATCTCTCTCCAGGAGTCCTGCCTGTGGCTGTGAGAATCTTGCAATGCCTCATGGGACTTGTAGTTCCACCACAGCTGGAGGGCCAGAGTTTGGCTACCCCTGCACTAGGCCATGGACCGAGAGCCCGACAGTGTCAGAAGAGAGGAGGGGACTCGGTGGCATACCTCATCCCGCCGAGTGAACGCCCCCTCCTCTCTCTGCTGGCGTCCATCTCCAAGATGGCCGCCAATCAGATGGCTGTGCATGCGCGATGACGTCATCGCGCGCGCGTGAGGTGACATCACGCCCACACGCGATGACAACACGGCAGGGGGTCACCCAGTCTGGAGACCGGGTGAGACCCGCCCTCGGCACGCCCCTGGTCCCACTTAACTCTAGGAAGTGAAATGAACTATAAGACATTGAACACCTTTCATTTGATGCAGCGGGAATGTGTTTATCTGATTTACACTGAGGGTTCTGTTGGGAATTTAAAGCGGACCCGGACTCAACAAGTGAAGTTTCGCTATGATATAGAGGAAATCTAGAACTGAAAGATTTACCTTTAATCTTGAATTCCTCCTGAAAAATAGCCGTTTACTTCCGAGTATGTCTCACAATTGTGTTCCTGTGTGGTCACCGTGTCACACGGACTCTTCTGATGTAGACTACAAGTTGCTGCTCCAGCACATATTACACAGGCTTGGTCCACTGTTGTCACCGTCATTAAACCTGTCTGGGAAATGCCACGCAGCCATGGCTTGGTAAGAGCTAAGATAACAGGGTAAAGCCTGATTTGTTTTTTTTTATTTTATTGTTCTCAACCAGTCAGAGGCGACTGGTAGACTTACATAGAGAGAGAGGCAAACAGTGAAGCTCAATTACAGTGCAGGATTACAGCGCAGGCGGCAAAGCCTACATATATGTAATGAACGTCTCATTTCCACTATATGTACAAACTATACAAGCCATTAAAACACCTATGGAATTATTCACATGTATATTTAAAACAAATGACCCTTCTGTTTTCGGGATATTCAGGTTAAACCTTAGCCCTGCTATAGGCGCCTCCGTGTATTATCTGAAGAGTTTTGTGATTGGTCATTGCACAGCTTTAGAATGACAGTCCTAAAATAAATACAGATCATTGATGTACCTTTATCATTTATATATTATCAAAAATACAAGAAGAAATAAAAAACAAGGGCTATGGACATAATACCAGCAATGTAGAGTCCCTTCCCTGCAGTTATCATTCATTGACCTGATGAAGATAAGTCCCAATGTCTGGTCATCACCCTGTGATTGGCCATCTATACTGTCCACATTTCTTATCAGTGAGCCCCGTTCACTGACCACACACAGTACAAAGCAGGAGAAACACGTGCACCCATATTCAATCCCTATTGGCTCAGTCGCCATGGTGCATGGTGCTATATTATACAAAGTGCAGGCTACACAGTGCTGGTTCATCATTTTCACTGTGCACAGTGCTGGTGCCAAGTAATCAGTGTGCACAGTGCTGGTGCACAGTAATCAGTGTGCACAGTGCTGGTGTCAAGTAATCAACATGCATAGTGATGGTGTATAGTCATCAGCGTGCATAGTGCTGGTGCACAGTATTCAATGTACACAGTGCTAGTGCACAGTATTCAATATACCACAGTGCTAGCGCATAGTATTCAATGTACACAGTGCTGGTGCACAGTATTCAATGTACCACATTTCTGGTGCATAGTAATCAGTGTGCATAATGCTGGTGCACAGTATTCAATGTACACAGTGCTAGTGCACAGTATTCAACGTACCACAGTGCTAGCGCACATTATTTAATGTACCACAGTGCTGATGCATAGTAATCAGTGTGCATAGTGCTGGTGCACAGTATTCAATGTACACAGTGCTGGTGCACAGTATTCAATGTACCACATTTCTGGTGCATAGTAATCAGTGTGCATAATGCTGGTGCACAGTATTCAATGTACACAGTGCTGGTGCACAGTATTCAATGTGCAGTGCAGGTCACAGTCTCTGATATCCACATCACTACTCAAAGATTCCAGTATACACAATGCTGGTGCAGGTTTCAGTGTGCACGGTGCTGGTTACAGAGTTTTCAGTGTGTACAGTTTTCAGTGTTCACAATGCTGATGCAGAGTTTTCAGTGTGCACAGTGCTGGTGCATAGCTTTCAGTGTGCACGGTGCTGGTGAACAGCTTTCAGTGTTAGTGTGCACGGTGCTGGTGAACAGCTTTCAGTGTGCATGGTGCTGGTGCAGAGTTTTCAGTGTGAAAAGTGCTGTTTTAGAGTTTCTACCATGCACAGTGCAGGTCACAGTCTCTGATATCCATGGCACTGGTCACAGACTCCAGTGTACACAGAGCTTGTTCAGTTTCCTTAATAACCAGTGCTGGTCACAGTTTCAGTGCACACAGTGCTAGTCACCGTCTCTCTTACTTCATTGTTAAAAGAAAAAAAAATTTGCATTAAAAAAATATATCCACAAACAGCCCCCTAGAGGCCACAGAGGTACTGCACCGTTGTCATGTTGGGAAGGTTTTGTGCCAAGAATTTGGGAGTAAATGTTGAAATGTTCAGGAATACAATTGACATATTTATGAAATGGCTGAGAATAGTTTTCTCTACATTGGTGTAGATGAAATGCTGACAATACGGGTGCAGTGATATTCCTAAATCTCACTTGGTGAAGGAAAGCTTGGCCTCTAAGTCCGGCATAGAGTTGGCACAGCTGTCAGCTCCGGCATTGCATGGCTTCTAGGTGCTCTTCGGCATCCGCACCCCTCAGGGCTGGTGCTGGTACTGGTGTTCAGTGGCCGTGAAGAAATCTTCCAGGATGCCTTGCAGGTATTCGAAGGTCGGTCTCTGTTCTGGGGCCTGCTGCCAACACTCCAGCATGATGTTGTACAGCTCCTGTGGGCAGTTCCCAGGGCATGGCATGCGATAGCCGCGTTCCAGAGCCGTGATCACCTCCAGATTGGACATTCCTGGAAGTAAAGAAGAGATCGGGTAAATTCAGACAGCAATACATATCTAAAGAAGAAAAAGCTGGCTTCACTTAGTTCAAATTCAACGCAGGTGTAACTTTATCGTTCTGGATAAGCAGAGACAAAGTCCCCACCTGGGAACTGCTCTTCCGTTGATGCGTTTCACCCAAAACCTCAGCTTAATCTATAAGCCCGGTTTTTGGGTAAAACACGTCAAACGAGGAGGTTCCAGGAGGACATTGTGTCTGTTTGTCCAGAACAACAAAGTTATACCCGTGTTGAATTTCAACCAAGTGCCATCGGCTTTTTCTCCCTTGGATTTACTGGTAGTTGGGGCATAGGAGGAGCCCCTGCTTGGCTTCTGGCACACGGCCAGACAAGAGAGTGACCCAGTGAGCTTGAAGCAATAAATATCTGTTAAGGATTCTAGACTTCCTGTAAGGTAAAGATGGCGCCTGTACTCCGTTTTGCTCGAATAACATACTCTAGTGCGCAGGCGCGTGCCACCGGAAGTGCGGGCAAAGACAAGCAGACGTCCAACGCATAGGAAGTGATGCACTCTTCCTAATAGACTGGCCTATATAAACGGATGTGGCCTAACCTCAAGCGCTGATGGTCTTCAGCTGGTGTTTCCTGTGTACCTGTCATTCTGGGGATTGCTTGACCAGTTTCTGACCCGGATTGTCTGACTCTTCCTGCTTGCTGCCTGCCTTTGACCCTGGCCTGTTTGTCGGACTTTGCCTCTGCTGATCGATGTTGTTACTTGCTGCCCGAACGGTTTGACCCTTGGCTTCCATGAGAACGCTCCTGCTTCTACGCCGCCTGCCCGGTTTGACTTTGGCCTCGTCTGACAACTCGATCCAGGACTTCTGCTGCAGTGGCACTTGTGCTCGTCCTTCACCCGCTGTTCCCATCTCCAGGGGGCGAAGGACACGGGGCGCAAGAGAAGCCTCCTCACATTACCGGTCTCCCACCATGTACGTGATACTTCCCCACTCTACTAAAAGACAGCTTTTAATGGTGTGTTCCATGTAGAGCTTTCCTCTCACTTCCTGTCCTGGTGATCCTGGTACACAAGCCTGGTTACTCAACGAACCATAACAGCAGCTCATTTATCAAGGGCATAGTACACGGTTTCACAACAAGTGGAGCTTTAAAACCATTTTTATGTGCAGTGCTGATTTTTGTTTGTTTTTAGCTAACCATTAGTGCTTGGAGTATCTGCTGTCATGTAATAAATGCTTGTACATACTTTATGAGTGTCTATAAGTATAAAAAGACAACTGACTGTGCTGCCAAGATCTGAGTACCTACCCTCTAGTAGCCGAGCACTCCTTGAACATAGGTTCTGGGTATGTAATGTTCTCGTCTTTGTCTACAGATGAAGAAGGAGCAACATGGGGGGCATCTTCCAGTACTGCTTATCTATGGCTGAACAATAGTGACTGGAGAAGGCTTTTTTTAAACCACTCTATCTTTTGTCCTCCCAAACAGAGGCCAGCAAGGCCTTCAATAGACACATTATTGCCTATCATCTGTCCTGTGTATGGATAGATTCAGTCTTCAGCAAAGATTCTGGCTAATCAACAGCGGGCCAAGCGTCAGAGGGTCTGGACTGTCCCTGCTGTTCTTTGATTGTTCCTATGACAGAGATTCACACTCACACAAAGGCATGTGTCAATTCTGTGCACTGATGTAAACAAAGATGGTTCTACAGTTGTCTTTAGAAGGATCGCATGAATTCCAGCTACGCTGGTGGCTGACACTGCGTAGGGTATGCAGCGCCCTCACCTGGATACGGCGTCCGCCCATAGGTAATTATCTCAGTCATAAGGATGCCAAAGGACCACACGTCGGATTTTATTGTGAAGGAGCCATAGTTGGCAGCCTCGGGTGAGGTCCATTTTATCGGGAACTTGGCTCCTGTTTAAAAAAAAAAAACATCACATGACTAGACCGTAAAAGAGAGAGATATACAGAGCGCTAATAATGACCTCCCAGTTATTTTGTATCTTCTGACAAATATGTTCTGAACCAGTGAGCAAGAAGAAGGATACAGAAAGTGAACTTGTGATGTGCAAAGTTGTGTTGGGTTAGCGCCCTCACTAAGCTATTGGATCATTATGCAATGACAAGGGAGATGTATAAATGATTGGTACAAAGAATCATTACATATACTTGTATTAGTATTGTTTTTGGATGAAGTAGGGAGGAGGGGGGGGGGGGGGTAACATCTATCAGGATTAGGACTTGCTATTTGGGATTGTTCAACTACAACCCTATGCATATATGTGGCAGCATGGCGGTGGGCTTTAATGGCTAGTTGCCACGTATGTATGTACAGCGTCCCTTGTTTATGCTGGGAGAGCCCCTAGCACAGTGAACACACTGTCATCAACAGCTCCCAGTCACTTTTTACAATCAGGAGCAGATGGGTAGGCTCCTGATCACGTGACCACTGTGACAGCAATCCTAGTGATCACATTACTGGGAAGTCCTTGTAATGCCTCTGGCAAAAGGGTTACAGTCCACAGACAACACTGGTTCTTTAGATAAAACTGTATGTAGGCATAACATCTTCATTGTAGATATGGAGTCTTTTGGACCTAATCACTTGATAGCTTTGGGAACTTCAGAGGCGATAGACCCTTCAGTAGTTCCTGGGTGTATTTTACCCACCTTGTGGTGTTTGCACACCTTCTGTTGCATTCTGAATAATATGAAATACATTAAAAACCCAGAAGGGAGGGTGGGAAGTACTCATAATGGCCCAGCTAGGATGCAGACCTCACTCACAGAGACCATTGGAGCCTCCAATAGATGTGCCAGCTAAAAGAACTCATCAGCATTAGACAAAAATTGACTTATCAGTTTTGGGTGAACTGACCCTTTAAGGATATGGTGGAACATTACTTAATACATACTGTAGGGTGCACCGTACTCACCCTCTCTGGCTGTATACTCGCTGTCTTCAATCACGCGGGCCAAACCGAAGTCGGCAATCTTACATGCCATGGTGGAAGACACCAGGCAGTTGGCTGCTCGCAAGTCGCGATGGATGTAATTCTTCTGCTCTATGAACCCCATTCCTTCTGCGATCTGTGGAAAAGAAGAAAAAAAACACCATCTCCTTTAAATTTCCCAAAAACTATGGGGGAGAATGGCTTACCTGATTGTTTATACAGTGAATCAATTGTTTAGGTAGGCCTTGTTGTTGGAAAATCTAAAACCGGGCTTACTCATTACAATCTGATTGTGCAGTCTGCTCACCGTCTCCTTTAGATTTAATAACAGCTATGTATTGGAATGCCTAAACAACCTATATCAAGTATAATCAATCAGGCCAGCCCTTGCACTACACAGCTGTTGGTAAAGGAGTTTAGAATGCATGGCCAGTTTGTGTATACAGTATATATTAAGGTGCGCACAGCTTGCATTTCAAGTTCCAAAGAGGTTCCCACCGCACTCCTTACTGGTATGTCCCTTTTAAGGTGGGTGCTGCAGTGATAGTGGATGGCACCACTTCAAATCCAAGTAGTAAAATATATCACCAGCTAAGCGAGCAACGTTCAGGGCCACTCAGGGTCCCTTTATCAGGCAAGACGATGAAGGGACCGTGAGTGGCCCCGATCAGTGGCTTCACAAGGGGGGTGCGGCCCGCAACCGGGTGACACCATCGCTATTGCAATGACTGACAGTCATTTTGGTGTCACCCCCTCTAAAAGGTCGGGCTCTCGGTCATGGACCGAGAGCACGACAGTATCAGGAGAGAGGAGGGGACCCGGCGGCATACCTCATCCCGCCGGGTGAACGTTCCCTCCTCTCTCTGCCGGCGTCCATAACCAAGATGGCTGCCGGCAGGCGTCAATTAGATGGCTGCGCGTTGACGTTTTCGTGCACACGAGTGGTGACGTCACGTGCGTGCGCAATGACATCACGGTCTCATCCGGCCTCTGCTCCGGGTGACACCCGGCCTCGGGACGCCCCTGGCCCCGATACGTTGCTTTGTGATGAGGTGTGTGTACATCAATAAAATGACCACTCAATGAAGATTTTACTTCTGTGTGCTGGTGATATAATTTACTACTCAGCTTGCATTGCAGACGCTTATCAGTTTCTTCTTCTTGTTTTCCTGCTCCCATGGTACTTTTGAGCTGCTTTTGCATTTCTATTGACTTGTATGAATACAAATATGTGCAGCCCTTGGGAGCTTTTAGTGGCCACAGCTGAAGCCCCCTACACTTTGTAAGAAAGCAGCCACTGGTATGAATTCTATACAGATCACAGAGTCAGGGAACTTTCCATAATTCCCAGCATCTCTCACCTGGGCGGTAAAGTCGATAAGCTGATGCACCTGGAGACAGTTGCCTTCGTCGCTCTTCAGAAAATCCAACAAGCTGCCCTTTTGCATGTACTCAGTGATGATATAGATGGGCTCTTCCTGCGTCACCACAGCGTGTAAACGCACTAGGCGCTCGTGCTGCAATGTTTTCATCATGTTTGCCTCTTCGAGGAAGGCCTCCGCAGACATGGTTCCCGGTTTCATCGTCTTCACTGCCACCTGAGTGTGCCCGTTGTATGTGGCTAAAAGAGAAGAGCGGAGAGAAGTGTTAGCAAGTAGAGTAAATGTGTGTGAACGGAGAATTGGGCTTCTTAGGCAATAATAATCATTGGATATGATAAGATGCAGCCAAGGCTGAGAGAGGGTACAGAACAGGATTTTGTGGAGGTAGAATAGATTATGAGAACACCACAATTCTAATTAGAAACACATAAAATGATTCGTAATGAATGAATGTAAATGACTTAAAAGGTTAAAGTGATTTCTTAAAGGAGAACTATGAGGTGATTGATTTACACTCATCCTCATAGTTAGAGCCAATGTCTGACAATGAAACTGTCACACGTCGGCTCTATAGATCGGGAAGTGAGCGAACACATACCATCGCATGCTCACTTTGGGTCACGGGAGGACGTTAGAATATGTCCTCCCGTGACCCTTAGGAGAACTATGGGATAAAAAAGTTACCCCATAGTTCCCTTTAAATATATCCCCCCCACCTTTGACCCACTCTTCTTAATGTAGCCCACACACTATAATACTTACCTTTATCCCCACTATCAAGTTCCCTGCCCAGCACCTTTGCAAGAATATCATTCCGGCATGGTTCTGTGCCTAGTGCACATGTACGTGCATCCAACCCCCAGCCATCCATTATGAACCATCAATAGAAGTAAATGTTGCCCCCTAGGCATGCTCACACTAGGCAGTGCATCCATCCAGGGTGATACTCTTGCAAAGGCTGTACAGTGCTGGGCAGGGAACATGAGAGTGGGGATGAAGTTAAGTGTTTTAGTGTGCAGGATACCTTGAGGTGGGTATATTCAAAGGAAAACTTTACCAAATATGAAGAGTGTAAAATAGGAAACTGGGGCAATTGCTGTCTCCTTTGCTTAAAGCGTAATCAAACCCAAGATCAGAAATGTAATATATTGCAGCTTAGATGTGGTGGCTGCAATATATTTAAGGCTTATTTCCCCCCGTTCTTCTCACTTGGTGATCCTACCAGTAACACATTTTCTCTCCTAGGGTGACAACACTCACTCATTCTATTGTATCTATGAAGGAGCAGCGTTGGCAGCCCCAGGACTATGGAACACCTCCTCATGTTAATAATATAAGTAGTGGGTGGTCAGCAGTTCCCAGAGGTAAACTGGGCAAAGCAAATAAGACTGCTAGAGATGAATCTATAGGGTGCACAGGACAGCATTGGGCTTGTGCCAGGTATTTTTGCTCTTACTGAACAGATATAAAGAAACACTTCCGATGGTAAATGTAACTGACCAAAACGAAGCAAATTGGAGAAGTTTATTGTCACACACAGAACATCCTCTAAGCACAAAACCTTTTCTGTAGTTTCTGATGGCAGAGCGGTTCTGATGTTTAAATATATTCTACAAACAAGTTAGTCTTTGTTTCTGGGGCTCTGAAGGCTGCTAATATGAAAATCAGCTGATCTCCTACAATATGCACACAGAATCATTTGGTTCCACAAGCGACCTACAGAGGGCCCTCTGATTCTGTCTCCACCATTCACATGCTGAGCAGAAGGACTAGCCACATTTTTCTATTGTTTTTAATGATCCATATCTGTATGACCTTTAGAGAAATGAGGAACCATAAACAGTAACTTTTCACACCAAAAAAGCTGTTGAGCTTGTGAAACTGTATAGTTAATGCAAAACTGCTGCTTATGAGCAGACCGGGGTTTGCAACCTCCTATATGTCTCTGCTGTCCTCTGTAATACATAGGGATGTGTCCTTGTAGATCAAAGCAATAGGTTTGCTTTATAGCTGAAGTTTATTCTGCTTATATTTTGCCTTTCCTAGGTTTATGTCTCTATTCCCCCACCCACCATCAACAGTCTAATGACATTTCTACATACAACCTTTTCATTTTCATGACATATCTTATTCAGACCCAATGTCATCATTGCTGGGTATCTGTGTTTCTCTATGCAATGCAGACCAACTTGCCTCAGTACTCCTCATCCCTCAGCCGGGATGCAGGCAGTGGGCCGACTCTAGGGAAGAGCTATGTAAGAATCAAAATGCCTTGAAGGGTTAGTCTGGAGGAGTGGGCATCCCTAGGCAGGCTGCATTTGCATGCAGACCACCCTAAGAAATGCCCAGAGTCTCCATGATTGAAAGAACCGATATCCAAAAATGAAAAGGGGCAGACCATGAGGAGGAAAGCGCTAGATGATGATGGACATCCTCCAGGCAGTAAATGAGCCTGGAGGTCAGTGTCCGCAGAATAAAGTTCACTATGCAGGACTGGGATCCAGATCTCTCCTGGGCTTAGTGAGGTCACATGGATGTGTGTTTCTAGAGCCAATCAGGTCTTGCAACAAGACAAAGAGTATAATAAATGGAGTCAGAGAAAACCAAGAGAAGACGAGAGGAAAGGGGAACAGTTAAAGTCAGAATAGGAAAGGACCCGGGTAGGGGGGAGTTTTACCGGGGGTAGGTCCTGACTGCTCAGTTGCCAGGTTGAAACCAGCCAGAGCATCCCTCTCAGCCCCTGGAAATCAGTGACATCAGTGAGCTGCGCAGGACGCTGGTCAGAGAGTCCCAGATTGCTAAGAGCTCTTAGCAACCTGGGATGCTCTGGCTGGAAAGGGGGGCTCTAGCCCTCCACGTGACCCAATGAGATGCTGCCTGAGGCGACTGCCTCATTAAAGGGAAGGCCTGGTACAGTAGTACAGCTTGTTATTGAAGAGTTCAACTTTTGCTTTTAGTGTTTCTTTGAATGTTTTTGTTCTAGTGTTTGCAATAAGAAACATACAACCTACCCAACCAAACATCGCCAAACTGCCCAGCGCCGAGCTTCTTCTCCAACCTCAGCGAGTCTCTTGGCACCTCCCAGGCATCCTTCTCCCACGGCTTATCTGGACAGGAAGACTTGCACGCTGTGGTGAGCTTCTGGCACAAGCCGTCCAAGTTGTCTGCAAAAAGAGAAAAATAAATGGAGGGCATACAAAAGCCAGAACAAAAGAAACTTTAATCACACAGAAAAAGATGTTTCATGTAAGTAACTCACAATAAATCATTTACAAATAAAGCATCACTCCACCCAAATGTCAGATGGTTTTGTATTATCTGAACAGAGCTGTGATTGTACATACTGATAACAGACGAGCTCGGGTTTGGATCTTACCCTGGTAGTAGCTGACCAGGTCATGCAGCGTTTTAAAAGTTTTCCTTGGAGAAACGTAAAATCCACCATTGTCCAAGGTGCGAATCTTGTAATGTTTCACCGCGTTTCCTGTCTGAGGGTTGCAGTCTCTGACGGATAGCGAGTAGCAGCCTGAAAGGCAAAAAGAGCATATAAGTTAACTGGGGACAGTACTAGAGCCTCACTCTCTGATAGATGGGTGAGTGGTCCATAGTCAAAGCACCTAGTGCCTGGTCTAATGTGACCAAAGAGGAGTACAAAGTTATTTCCACAATGTATCATTCAGTCACCTTTCATAGTCTCGCTGTCCCGTATCATGAAGGCGCCGGTCTGATTCTCAGGTGACAGCAGCTGCCGTTCTGCTTCTTTCCTTCCAACTGTCTTGAAATACCACCTAAAAAATAAAATATTTTAACGTATTGGTGCGTAGCCCATCCTTTCTTCAAAGAGAATAATATGTTTAAAGCAGCCCGATCTATTTCCAGATACCACACAACTACTATACATATGACATTCCACATGGGAATTGAGCTGTTTAGTGTCCAATTATAGTTTCCAAACACACAGCTCCTCAGTTCCCTAGATCCCGCTTATCTAATGAACAGCCTTGAGCATTTGCTATCTGCTGGTCATTACTTAGCACTGCAGCACAAGTCATGCTGCAGTGCACACCTGCCCCAATCAGGATTGCTTAAATAGACTGCTGGACATTCGGCCTGTGCCTGAGCAACAGGTTTTGTTTGACTCCTGTCCCTGTACACTACTCAATCACTTCTATAATGTGGGCTGTGTTGAGGTGCCCATACTCGTACGATAATCGCGGGAAATCCGCGTGCAACCGTTTTTACTGTACGGTCGCACGTCTTTTGTCGAACCAGCAGGCTAGAGAACCCGTCGAGAATGGTACGATATGGTACGCCTGCTCGTTTGACAACTGCGGAACGGGCCAGTGTGCGCACGCACACACTGCCCGTTCAGCATTGCTGTCATCGCAAATGCTGACAAAAGTCTTGCAATGGTTGTAAGGTGTATGGGCACCTTTAGAGTTTTGTCTTATATGCTCTGCCTTGACTCTGCAGTTGTCTGCTGTATGCACAGACCACCTGCCTATAGGCTTCAATTCTGCTCTTTGTATGTCTTCCAACTGCATTTAGCTGGCTACCTGTAGTCAGCGGGTGCACTGAACTCCGCAACATTTTTAAAGAGAAGCAGGATGCCAATCACCCCTTGTATCAAACACCCGAGACGTGTGCCATTGGTAACATGGTTCCATGGTAAATGAAGCTCCTCCCTTCTTAGACCTGGGTAAGCTCACTCCTGAGATGCATTGGGTATCTTAAGCTACAAGTCATTATCTGCATAAATAAACAGATGTTCATGTATAGGTCATTAAGGATGGGCTAAGGCGTGTTCGCAGCTCCACGTGCCGAGCCCGCCAGGAATCACAGGCACGGAGACATTTCCCGATCTCTGCAGCTGCGGACCGGGAAAATGTCTCAGTAACTGTGATTGGCGCTGCGCGCTGTCAGCTTCCTGGCGGGCTCGGCACCTGGACCTGCGAACACGCCCGAGCCCGCCCTTATAGGTCATTGGCTGTGGAGGCAGTCAGATTTGCATAGGAGAGCACAACATTCAACATAGTTAGGAAAATAGACTTTTAAAAAGCTACATCTGCTTCTCCTAATAGAAGAGATGCAAAAACAACTGCAGCTTACGCCAGTACAAGAAAATATTAGCTCCACATACTGTACATGCTGAATGCAAATGTTTACTTTATATTTCAGTAATAGGTGGCATCTAGTAAACTTATGCAACTTTTGGACTATTCCTTGTACCTCCTGAGGCTTTTGGCACTGAGATATCTCTCTCTCTCTAGCAGCATAAGAACGTCACACGGGGTTCTAACCCCTCCCCACCGCACTCAAAACGAAAGAGTACCAACTTGTCAAAAGGCAAACAAACAAGGAAGTGTGAAAGCGGTGAACATTCACTCCCAGGTGCTCCAACACATACAACAAAACCATGGATTATTAGGTATAAGAAAAGAGATCAAATATAAAAGTCACTTACTCTTCGGACTCCAGAGAATTCAATTTTCCAACGTAATTACTGGGAACAAAGCCTTCTTCTCCTGATTGTACCAAGCGTGCGCGCCACCACTCCCCCGTCCTACAGCGACAGCAAATAAACATTGTGAAATGCAGTCCATACAGGATTCCATAATCCAGATTTATAACAAAGTGTAAGATAGCGTCTGTGTTGCCCATAATGACCACTTATATTCTAGCTGGCTTGTGTGGAAGTGGTACAGAATTGCATTCCTAGAACAGGAGGTATTTACATGGCATTGCTTTCATCAGTAATCCAACAAAACCAGAGATCTGTATCTCAAGTTGTTATGAAGGGCATTCTTCAGGTCCACTTCTTATCTGTCCTCATTGAAGTTATTATCCACACGTGTGGCTTTGATCCTATGACAATTGGCAGCCAGTCAAAGCGCTATAGAAAATGAGTAGATGTCTCCCTGCCTATCTGTCCTTTAAAGGAGAACTATGGGGTCAGTGTTTTTCCCCATAGTTCACCATAGGGTAACGGGAGGACACAAACTAGCGTCCTCCCGTCACCCTAAGCTCAGTATACCGCGAGCTACAGCTCGCGCTATACTGAGACGCCACAGCCGGAGCGGATCCCGACAATTATGTCTGGATCCGCCCAGCTGCGTGAGTGACAGCTGGCTCTGCCTGTCTAGAGGCAGAGCCAGCTGTACCCGCCCCCGTCCGATCTGCCAGTCAGCGCTGGCGGAGCGGGGAGGGGGGAATCCAGCCCCTCCCCTGTCACGGCAGAGAGCTGTGACAGGATCGAGAGGTGAGCGAACGCCGCTATGTGTTCGCTCACCTCCCGAACTACTGAGCCGACCTGTGACAGTCTCATTGTCACAGGTCGGCTAGAACTATGAGGTGAGTGAAAAGCACTCACCTCATAGTTCTCCTTTAATGTGAAGGTGAACGCCTTGGTAGCAGCAAGACCAGTGGTGTCCCCAGCCTTTTTGCTGCCTGAGGCTGGCCGGCGAGGGGGTTACCGGTGCACAATCCTAGCAGCGGGAGTTGGGTAGTGCAGACAGGGAAACTCTAGCCGGTGTCACGCCCAGCTCCAAGTGACATCACAGGTTGCCCGGAGCTCTGCGGGACGCCGGCCAGTGGGTCCCAGGTTACTAAGACCTGGGCGCAGAGATGTGTATGGCTCTTAGCAACCTGGGACGCTCTGGCCGGAAAGGGGGCAGCAGGCATGCGCCACTCTGCCTGTTGCCCCCACCACGTGACCCAAAGAGATGCCACCCGAGGCAATAGCCTCAGGCTGCCTCATTAAGGGGACGGCCCTCACTCATTAAAGGGACGGCCCTCACTCACTTACCAGACGTTCATTGCTATTTTTCTGGAATCTCACACAAAATATATTTTTTTATTGTACTAACACTACACGTTGCCTATAACTTATCATATTTACTTTTTTTTAACTGCATATTAAAGTGCAATTAATGATTACTGCCCCAGCCCCTGAATGTATTTTCTGAATGCATATCTTTTTTTATCAGATGTTTACTGGCCGGTCATGTGACATGAAGGGTTCTCTTTGCCTATTCTCAGTCATTGCGCAGTCCCTATTGATGTAGAGAGCTGCCTTGATTGTACATTTTCTGCTGCATTGATCTGTCACCCCGTGGCAGCGTGATAACACACACTCAGGGGGTGGCCCATGATACCCTGAAGTGGGTTGAATAATGTTGGGCGTCATGTAACCTGGAAGAGGACTGTTGTTAATGGATCTCGGTGTGGGGAGTCTGTGGAGGACAGTGCATGCAGAAGCTATGTATTCCAGCAAAAGCTGCCTTTTTTTCATTTTAGAAAGAGCTTGGAAGTTAGGCTTTAATGCTGCTCTAGGCAACGCAGACACTTTCCTTTCCTACACAGTCCTCCATGACGCCTTCAGAGAAGAAAAGATCTGAGTGATCAAGTGATGACTTTACAAGGTCAGAATTGGTATAACTTACTCCTCTATTGACTTGAAATGATCGCCTTTCCGAAACGTCAGGTCGTCAGGATGGACACCATCGTAGTCATAGAGAGCCACCAGGTCCGCCTCTTCCCCTGCAAGAGATCGGCAATCATAGTGTGAGTACCCCAACAGGGGCCTGTGTGACTCCATCCATCAAAAACGACATACATTGAGCATAGTATCATGGCTCTCTGTACAAACAAAGGGTTACGAGGGTTCCAGATACTTTCAGCAACATAGCTGTACTGTCACAGGACACTCACCTCCACCAGCTGTGCCCTCCCTGGGTTTCTTCTGTAAAAGAATAAAACAAACGCACACTGTCATTTTCTCATTCCCAACCAGCACGAATTCCAAAAAAGTCACATTATCACTCACAAAGCGGTTTCATTCAAAATGTCTTGGGAAAAATCTTCTCTTTTTATTTAGAATTATTATGTTATTAGTATATAGGATTTATATAGCGCCAACAGTTTGCACAGCGCTTTACAATATAAGGAAGACATTACAATTACAATACAAGTCAGGACAAGATGGTAAGGAGGGCCCTGCCCTTGAGGGCTTACAATCTAAAGGGAGGGGGGAAGTGATACATGAGGAGGTAGCTGTATGGGGATGAATTGTTTGAGAATGTGATAGTTCAGAGGTTGGGTTGAGGTGGGATAGGCTTCCTTGAAGAGATGAGTCTTAAGGTATCACCTAAAGGCAGTCAGAGTGGGAGATAGACGGACAGGTTGGGGTAGAGAGTTCCATAAGATGGGAGAGGCTCTAGAGACGTCCTGGAGGTGAGCATGGGAGGAGTTGATGAAGGAGCTGGAAAGCAGGAGGTCTTGGGAAGAGCGGAGGGGACGGCTAGGGTGATACTTTGAGACAAGGATTGAGATATAGCCGGGGGCAGAGTTGTGGATGGCTTTGTAAGTGATTGTTAATATTTTGAATAGTAACCCTTGGGGCGATTGGAAGCCAGTGCAGGGATTTGCAGAGGGGGCAGAGGATGGAAGCAAGTGCAGGGATCGACAGAGGGGGCAGAGGATGGAAGCCAGTGGAGGGATTGGCAGAGGGGAGTTTGCAGACACTGAGCGTTTGGTTAGGTGGATGAGTCTAGCAGCTGCATTCATGATAGACTGAAGGGGGGATAGTCTGTGTAGAGGTAAGCCAATGAGGAGGGAGTTGCAATAGTCAAGACGAGATATAGAATGTGTTTTGTTTTGGGAGAGTTGTATGTAGGGTAGTTTAGTTTTAATCACAAAGAACAGTAAATGGAATAAACAATATAATAAGGCTAACAAGGGGCTGTTTTATGCCCCAAAAGGGCGCAGGATGGATGAGAGCAGCTTTTGTAACCTTCGGGAGCCATAGAAAGCCTTTAAAGCCACAAAACCCACTTTAATGTACATGTATAGCCTAAATCTTTATTTCACTCATCCCCAGTGACTAACGTTATTGCCTAAATGTAGCTAACACATGCTGTCTGGATGTTACTTGAGTACTCAGACCTGGGTGCGAACCTTACATTGACCTTGAACTCAAATGTGACATGCCTACCACTATCACATTCCAAACAGATACCCCCAGAGACATGCCAATTTCATAGCAGGAGGACAGCAGTGCCTACTTGTAGGGAATAAAGTTAGGACTATTTCTACATAATGTCTTCTATGTGACAGGTACCCTAGTGTCAGTAAAGGATGGACACCGGCACTCCAAAGCAAGTTCAGTACGTGCTTATTAACGTACTAGTTGCAAGTAGCACACTCTAAACAACGTTTCGGGGTCTCACAGGATCCCCTTCATCAGGCAAACAACGTTTCGGGATCCTGTGAGACCCCGAAATGTTGTTTAGAGTGTTCTACTTGCAACTAGTACGTTAAGAAGCACGTACTGAACTTGCTTTGGAGTGCCGTTTATCCATCCTTTACTGATATTTTGTCGGAAGCCACCCGCTGACACCTGCTGCACCCACCCTCCATTTTTGGAGCAGCGGCTCCGAGTGCGATGGGTACATGGACTGTATCCTGAATTTGTGTCTCCAAATGCCCATGCCTATCCAGCCAAAGAAAAAGTCTGTCCTGCTGTCAGCTCCACTGATCATCCCTCTGTTGAAGAGATAACACTGCCTAAAGAAACTTCATCATCCGACACTTCCAGGAGTGTCAGATGCCTGGTCACCCCTCTGCACCCTGTGGTTTCTCCCGTTGACCCTTAGTGACATGGGGCTGGTGAAAGGAAGGTACCACAATGCTCAATGGGGGACCAGGCAGCCAACAATCCTGGAAGTGTATGAGATGTGACAAGATTCTTTTGGCAGGAACAGAGAGCGTGATTGTCGACACGGCAGGAGAACAGTTTACTTTTACAGGCAATGCTTTGTTTAATTTTCTTTTGGAAGCAAATTACTTTAAATTATGGGAAAAATCCATAGCCCAGTGTAAGCTATGATTGAGGATCACAGAGCACCTTCTCTTTTTCCAGGCAGGTGAAGAGAGTGTAACTAGAAAAGGGACACATTGCCGATTCACAAGGGTTAGGCTGCCTTCCTAGCTTGTATTTAACAAGAAATCTTCATTTAATAATTTCCTGCCAATGCACAAAAGTAGGAACCAAAAAGTGTCACAACTTCCCTTTCTGTGTAACACAACCCCACGAGATGAAGCAAGATCCTAGCATATAATCTGCAATTCCCCGATGCAGCAACTTCCTAAGTAACTTCTCAAAACATTTGAGGTGATCTCAGTGCTGAATTTCCTCCATTTCCACAGGGGATTTCCAGAAGTGAATCTGTCCGTAAGACAATCGGAACCAATAGAAATAGGGGAAACCAATGCAGCCTATAGGAATGGGTGAAACATAGGCAGCCTATAGGAACTGGTGAAACCAAGGCAGCCTATAGGAACGGGTAAAACAAAGGCAGCCTATAGGAAAGGGTAAAACCAAGGCAGCCTATAGGAATGGGTAAAACCAAGGCAGCCTATAGGAAAGGGTAAAACCAAGGCAGCCTATAGGAAAGGGTAAAAGCAAGGCAGCCTATAGGAAAGGGTAAAAGCAAGGCAGCCTATAGGAATGGGTAAAACCAATGCAGTCTATAGGAATAGGTAAAACCAAGGCAGTCTATAGGAATGGGTGAAACCAAGGCAGTCTATAGGAATGGATGAAACCAAGGCAGCCTATGGGAATGGGTGGAACCAAGGCAGCCTATGGGAATGGGTAAAACCAAGGCAGCCTATAGGAATTGGTGAAACCAAGGCAGCCTATAGAAATTGGTGAAACCAAGGCAGCCTATAGGAATTGGTGAAACCAAGGAAGCCTATAGGAATGGGTGAAACCAAGGCAGCCTATAGTAATGGGTGAAACCAAGGCAGCCTATAGGAATGGGTGAAACCAAGGAAGTCTATAGGAGTGGGTGAAACCAAGGCAGCCTATAGGAATGGGTGAAACCAAGGCAGCCTATAGGAATGGGTGAAACAAAGGCAGCCTATAGAAATAAGTCAACCCAAGGAAGCCTATAGAAATAGATGATGTCAATGCAACCTATAGGAAAAGGTGAACACCAAGTCAGCAGGCCAGAGGAAGCACTTCCCCAGTCTCCTCTCCCCCAGTGATCCGTCTGCTGCAGCAGAAGGAAGCATTTCCTCTGTCTCCCCTCCCCCAGTGATCACTCAGATTGTACATCGGTACCGGAATTTACACGCATCGACCCCTGTACAGTGTTTGAAGCAGCTGGGGCTCCCGGGTTCAACAAACACAGGCACATTTTACGCTGTATACCTATACGCCTGTATTTGCGCCGAAAAGGAGAGGTATTAACCCTTCCAAATGTTATCCAGAATAAGTTTAGCCATACATTTCATGTTCATTAACCCCTTTAGAACTGTGCAACACATATATATGCAGTGCCGTGGAGGTGGGTCTTCTTCCGTGGCTCCACATATATGAGCACCTGTATTTGTGCTGGAAACCCCCACCATCACCGGGTCTCCTACTAACAATCGGGACCAGGAGGACTGGCTCCTGATCACAGGATCCCTATGATCTCCTGCTGTGGAACCCTCCCCACCTCTTTCCCCCCCTGTGCGGTACATCGTCTAATTCTTCTGGATACACATGGTAATTGCATTAAGGGGTTAATTTAACAACAAAAAAGTAAAATAAACAACAACTGACCTATATAGAAAAGGAGATTGTTTTGCCACGGGGTATTATTCTGAATATTTTGGTGTAAAACATTGACCGGAGGCAAGCGAGGTCGTGGCATGTTCGGTGAGGTGAGAATGAGGTCCCTTGTAATGGGGGGCGCTCGCAGTGACTGCGGATGGCGCCGCAAATATCAGCAAATTGTAGAAATGTATTTTAGGATAGCGAAAGCTTCATTTATTGAAGTTCTTTGTCATATGAACAAGAGCTTTCGGACCACACAGGGTCCCTCCATATTCATCATTGATGATCAATGGTCAATGCTAAAGCCTGATGAAGGGACCCTGTGTGGTCCCAGAAGCGCTTGTTCATATGACAAAGAACTTCCATAAATGAAGCTTTCGCTATCCTAAAAGGACTGGTGTGCTGGTGACATTTCTACAATTTGAGAATGAGGAAATGGCGCCGACCACGCAGAAGAAAACCTTTCACATCTTCGTTGACGTGCAGCATAAGGAAGCAGGAAGGCTTTTGAGGAATTTGAACAGTTTGCATAAAACACTGGATATAAACCACTCTGATGTCTTCAAGGTACATTCCAGACAGTTATTCAAATTTTGCATTTCAAGGCTCACCCCCCCCCCCCCCAAGCAAATTTGAATACTAAGGGCGGTCTCCAGCCATCTCAATCACCCGTTCTCCTGTATGTCCGCTCTGCCCTCAGTTGTTATGGAGTCTCACGCCTTTGGCTGCTTTTTCCATTGTGTAAGCCCAATACATATCAGTATATAGTTTAGGGCAGGGGTGGGCAATTCAATTTTTCAGGGGGCCACACAGGAAATTGGAGCAGCTGTGCAGGGCCAAACTGATTAACACACGGTACGGCGCCAGGCACCCAAGACGCTTTACACTGTGGCAATAGCATTCAAAATGCACCTCCTGGCTGCTATGCGCTCGAATGCGTTGCAACACACGGAAACGTAACCGTGCATGGTGGTGCGGTTGAACAAAGTAGCGCATGCAACACAGCTGCACGGTAGGTGTGTTGCACGGTGCGTTAGTCACTGCTGGGCAGGAAACTACACATGCCAAACCCCACCCTCGGACGTACCGTTTTAACATCTTTTTTTTGTTTTACTCCACGGGTGGAGCTGCAGGAGAGGAGGAGAGGAGACGGAGGGGGACCCCTGATGTCA